GGCATACCTATCAAGGCCTCTTTGAGGACTTACAGTGAGGGTCTTAGCCCTTGTTTTGGTTTTTACAAATTATCCACTAAGAGAGATTGTTAACAGCGCGTGACTCAAATCTAGGCCTTAAAAGTGAAGAGAACGATCCTTACCAACTCAACCAACCCTCATTGGCATTAACTTAGTCTTTCATCCTAAGTCTTGTGTGTGAATCCCCTACTCCTATATCGTTTGTATTAAAAAAAGAAAAAGAAAAAGATGACATAACTTGAAAACGGAGCAACATAGACTCTCTAATCTAGTTAGGGCCAACTTGTGTATTGCACGCCAAGAATGCTAAGTGGAAAACGTCTCTGGTCCAGCATTGAGAGCCGAAGAAGGTTCATGCCCTTTTTCAAAAGTGTGGGCAACAAAGTGTCATGCTGACACAAGGTCTTCACACAAAGCCCAATTACATAAGTGGATGCTGAGTGTCTTGAAGTTGAAACATAACAATTACCAAGATCCATAAGCTCCTAGTTTTGCCTAATCGGCTCTGGATATCGTCAATTGACATGAAAAATACTAAAGGCAGGCACCCATTAGCCACTACCATTCCAAACATTTTAGACCCAAAAACTCACTATAGCTAGTGTCTCTTGTCAGTTTGTTTCCAAGGACTACAATGTTATAGCTCATTCACTAACTTGATATATATTTAGATGGAGTCTCATTTCTCGGCGGATATGATGAAATGATTTGCGTTATGAAAAAGAAAAGAAAACGCTAAAAGTTAAAATAGTGGTCAGTGTTGCTAATGTATGTAACTCTTTCTCAATAGTTTCCCAGCTTCATCAGCCAAATATTTATAATAAAAAAAATTAAAAGAAAAAAATGTTGCTGTGGTACTTTTAATAAGTGAAGTAAGACTGATGCCACAAATGAATACCATCTAGTTTTGTTCTTCAAAGAAGTCAAACGACAGTGTGCTCGATTCTAAAAAAACTACTGTGAATTGCAGACAGACTGACAGCTTTGCAACTGTGCATTGTAGCAGTTATTTTATGAAACAAAAAAGCTGGCAGTCTTCTCATAGCTAGAAAATATTATTGATTATCAATCGAATCTTATTAAGTACCCGAAGAAAAAAAAGGCCAAAACCAAGACAAAAACAGTGCAAAAATATATATGTAATCTCCATATCCAAAGCGAAATAGGATTTCTCATTGCAGAAGCTACATCTTATTCCTTATGATGCTGTACTTGGTATATATGCTTCATTGTGACATTGACATGCAAGCACATACAGCCGTGCAGTGCCTTGCACAAGTATATATGATAATTGTTGGTTTCACGGTATGGGAATATATTCCAATTCCACAACTCCAGATAATCTTCTGTTCAACTTTCAATCATCATTGCTGGTTCTTAGATATGTACTGAGTTTTTGTTCTATATCTCAACAGAGTGTAAGGAATAATTGCTTTATGGCTTGTGAGGAGGAAGGCAGGCATTTTTATGATAGGAAAAGGATATTCTTACTTGGCTTGTGCATCCTTCCACAAATATTTTGTTCACAACGTATATATGTGGTGTGCGTTTTGTCTTTTGTTTGCATGAGCTATCTTGTCATGTACAATTCATCACCACAGCTCGTATGTTAATTACATGATTGCATATATGACCAACAATTAATCAAATAGTATGAACCAAGGAAACGGAGTTTTTGCTCCAATCTCAAAACTAATACTCTGCATGTTTCTAGATCGTGAATTTATAATTGACTAATTAAGATTTATAGTCTGGCAAGAGAACATTACCCTAACATATTGGATTCAAAAATCCAATCATGGCCAAGTAAATTTTACTTGGATTATACTTTCGATTAGCATTAAAATAAAGAAGGATGCTTTGATCAAGTGGTACAAATAAGTGATTATTTATCCCCCATGTTTCTGGGAGGAGGGGGTTTACACATGAAAGAAGTTAGCCTTTACTTTCCTCCTCTACCTTCTTCTGTACACGCACAGCATCACTCAATACACATCAGTAGATAGTCACTTTCACCACCGACATCATTGTTTTGGTTCAGCTTTTTCATTAGATCTGGGCTTCTATGCATCCTCAAGAGAATTACAGAGCACCACATGGTGTAAATCATCAAACTGCTGCAAGCGTGAGCTCTATAATTAACAGTTGCTTTTCATTCTTGAGGTATTATGAGGACATGCATGTCTTCTGGTTTCTTTGCAGGCAAGATTCAATATATGGACTCTCTCTTGTCATCATATATAAGTCGCAAAGCTAAAGGTATTTGTAGAGTATAGTCCACACAAGCACAAGATATTTTTTTTTGGTGTGACTGTACGTAGCACGGCCGGGGGATGCTAGCTGAAAAAGTTTCTTGAAATACAATAGAGTTATTTATACTAACACCTCTTTAGATTTTCGTTGTTTTCACAAAACCCCCTGAAATTTTAAACACTATACGAACACCCCCTTAGATCTTAAATTGTTTTCACAAAACCCCTTTCCATTGATTTTTCGTCCAAAAATTAATGATTTTATATAGAAAATTTCTTTAAATGACAAAGTTAGCCTTTCAAATTAGATTGCACATACATTCATTGAGTTAATTTTGTTATGTGCAGAAGTTTTTATGTGGAAATCATCAAATTTTTGGACGTTGAATCAATGAAAAGGGGTTTTGTGAAAACAAATTTAAACCTCAAGGGGTATTCGTGTAATTTTTAAAACCTCTAGGGATTTTGTTAAAACACGAAAAACCTTAAGGAGTGTTAGTGTAAATAACTCCATACAATAATAGTGTTGCATATAAAATACATTACAACTAATAATATTTCTAATAGAAATAATAACCCGAGTAATATATCGGTTTCCCTCTTATCTTCTCTGTAGTATGAGAGAGGGGGACTCGAATACAAGATCTTGAGTGCAAAGATAACTGCTTAAGTTACAAGCCCGAACGAGTATATAAAATTACTTTTATTGCTAAGAAAGGGTAAGGTGGTTAATTTAAAATCCTCTTCATGTTTCAAATAATTGACTAGGACGTCTAATCATGCCCCTTCTTCTTCTTCTTCTTGACGTTAAAGTATTGGTCGTTTTCCCTTGTTTAGGGTTGCCAATGGGGTACCCAAGCCTGCCTTCCCTCATTCTCAAGTTGCAAATTTGAAACCGATAAGTCAGTGACCAACTAACTCACCAACCTCGCTCCTACCTCAACCCTGCAAATTAGGAACTCACCTAATGCAAAAAATTATTGCTGATGATTTATGCGTGTGGCATCTCACTCTCACTGTTTTCTGGAAAAGGGAAGGAAATTTTTTTGTCCATAGTGTTTCGAGTTTTTGAGTAACTTGGAGGAAATTGAAAGATTAATCTCTCCTAATATCAACTCATTACTTCAACCACCCTCATTACTTGAACTAACTTTAAGGATAATGTTTCATAATTTTCATCAACCATTGCGAGATTCTTTGTTTTAGTAGTAAATCTCACATATTTTGTATGAAATTTCTACTTCTACACGTAACAAGAAATATACAATAATCTTATAAAAAAGGAAGTTACTATTTTTTTAAACAAGCGATAATCTCTAAACTACAGGGTAGTGAGTAGAAGGAAGGGACTATAAACTTTCCCAATAAAGTAAATTCCATATTCTCCCAATTGTAACTGTTTTCTGAATTTATTGAGGAATATGGTGTAATTAAATTCAAGCTTTTGTTTTCTCCCTTTTTTGGGCTTCCCCTTTTTAAAACGTAAAGGTTAAGCTTTTGTAACTCCAATTGGCAATAACTGAATTGCATTAACAATAATAAAGGGGGTTTTTTTGTTTTAATTTTCAGGAGAAAAACCTTAGAACCGCCTACTTTTATAAAGTTTTTAATCAAATTTCGTTTTCTTTCCCATTAAAAAAAAAAAGAAAAAAAAAGTCGTCTTGAGTCGTATTAGGTGAATCTCACGGCAGCTTTTATTTGGTGGGCCCAATGATCACCATCATCCATACCATTCATCACTATCACGTTCATAGACACAACTCCACGTTGTCCAATATCATCCTAATCCTAAAATCAGTCACTACCCATCTTTTGCCTATATAGCACGTATATATTTTAAGCTTAATTATTATCATTAATATTCTTTTACACTGTAAATCTGAATCATTAGTTGGATTGTATCGTCACTCATTATTATCACGTGATATAAGCAACTCTACTAGAATTTTTCTCGTTTTAAACTGACAGTTTGAGAACATAACACACCAAATATATGACAATAAACATTACCCCAGTTGTCATATGCACGTACATAACATACATCAAAATTGTCGCCTCCAACCCCAAAACTAAATAATAATAAATAAAAAACAGCATATATCATATAAATGATAGATTCATAGACCTATTCTTTAGGAAAATCATTTAACAAATTTCCCTCATATTGCGGTTGTCAATCTTTCCGTTGACTCAAAATATAGTCTAAGGTTAGGTTAGGAATTAACTAACCCAGATTAAATTTTATAATGCAGGCAAGGCATAACAGATCAGGTTACTCAAATCAAAGCAAGGAGTTTTGGTCATCGCTTTCATTTTTCTTTAAAGAATTGTTAAGGTTGAAGAAATCGTAATTAATGTGGGATGGGCTGGCCAAGAACATGGATTTCACTGTCGCTTCCTTTATTTGTCTGAACTGATTTTCTTTTTTTCTTTTTTTTTCTTTTTTTCCATTTACATTTTAACACTTAAAGGTTGTGAATGAGAAAGGACACCCTCACATGGAAGTAAAACCACAGAGAAGAGAAAGTAGCCTTTTCTTTTTGTCACCTTCAATCCCTCCATTTTCCTTCTTCCATTTCCAAAGGGAAGACCAAACAAACACTCTGCCTACCTCTCCCAACTGTTAGCCCTAACCCTTTTCCTCTTATAACACAGATCCCTCCATCAAACTTTTCATCTTTAATTTCCTTTTCGATTTCTTCGTTGTCGATCAAGTTTTATGCAGCAATGAGGAGCATAGCAACTTGTTACAGTGAACATGCCATAAAAGTATCAGATTCATATTGTTCAGGGCCTTCAAACCGGGCTTATGTGACCCCAAGATTGGCCCCTTCAATCCCAAATGAGGTTGCATGTATATACAGAGCCAAGCTCTCAACCCAGAAGCATCTCCTCATCACACTCACCTGGTACAACAAATTTTCAGGCCAAGGCCTCAAAATCAGCATTGGGGACAAAGAAAATACCTCTTCACCAATATCCAAATTCAATTCCAGTTCATATCAACTGCAAGGTCAAAAGGGTACCAGGACATTCCAATCCAGCAATTCAAAGATGGAAGTTTTCTGGGATTTGTCCACTGCTAATTATGATGGAGGACCAGAACCAAGCAATGGGTTTTATGTGATGGTTTTAGCAGACTCAGAACTTAGCCTGCTTCTTGGGGACAAGGTTGAAGAAGTGCTTGATTTGGAGAAATACAAAACCATCATTTCTCAGCCAAAATTCTCATTGGTTTCTAGGAGTGAGCATTTTTCTGGCAATGCTGTGTATTCAACCAAGGCTCAATTCTGTGACAGAGGAGTTGCACATGACATCTTGATCAAGTGTGACAGAGACGACGAAGGCGGCTCAAAAGGCCCGGTGTTATCAGTCTGCATTGACAAGAAGAAAATATTTCAAGTGAAGAGATTGAAATGGAATTTCAGAGGGAACCAAGCAATTTTTTTGGATGGTTTGCTGGTGGATATGATGTGGGATATTCATGACTGGTTGTTCAATCCAAAATCTGGTTCTGCAGTTTTCATGTTCAGGACAAGGAGTGGATTGGATAGCAGGCTGTGGCTGGAAGAGAAGATTTTGGAACAGAAGGGACAAGAAAGAGCTGAGTTTTCTTTGTTGATCTGTGCCTGTAAGAGCCCTGACTGATTCCTTGTTTCCCTCTTTTTTTTTTTTTTTTTTTTTTTTATTTAATAGTGAAAAAAAATTATATTAACATTGACTTTATAAGTTCTTTGTTTGTTTTCATGGTTAATCTTCTTCAAGCTATAGAAAATTATATGCTTTACTTGGAGAAGGAACACTGTATAGGTTCAAATTTTACTGGAAGCATTTGCATTAAAATCCTCTGTCTCTGTCTGCTCTTCTTCCTCTCTCTTTACCCTTCCAAGGCAAAGATTCCATTTTCATTATCCGTTGGGATGGATAGGAGAATAAGTTTGCTTTCCTCTCTTTTTTCGCTTTTTACTAAAGTGATTCCTGGTCTTATTTTGGAAACCCAAGGGGGCAACTTTTGCCCTTTTTAGCAACCAAACTTGCCATTGAAACGTGCAGATTTTATTTGTCTGCCATTATAACATTTGTTTATGCATTTTTGCTGAGGTTAATTGCACGGAAACTTATGGGAAGTTTCTATGCATAGCTCAAGTCACAAGCTTGAAAATCTTAAGTTGGCAAAGGACCGGCTGAGGCTTGTTACTTGGCCTTGGGTTTACCCAGTCCACTGGGTTTATATTCACCAGGGTAAAAAGTTTACTTCACATCCAAGTTGTAGGAAGGGTAAGAGGAGAAAAAAATCTTGTGATTGTATAATCTAATCTTGCTTTTCATGTCTAATCAGGTTATTTATATCTAACACTATTCCGATAAGTTTCATGAAATAAATATCTCACACTTGTATGCTTATGCGTGCAAGTGACACGCGGGCCATACGCAAGACACCCCTTTTAAGCAAGTTTTTCTCCTTGTAACGTGAACTGCCGATCAGAGACTGCCATCTTTCTTAATCCACAAGGGCATATTATGACTTGAATATCATAGAAAGAACAACATCTACGACTAGGACTAGCTACTGTTCACAGATTTAATTTCATTGCAAGTGCCAAGTGGGTTAGGTCCAGCCTCACATGTGACATTAAATTTAAGTCACCATCTCATTTAAAATAAGTGCTATTGGATTCATCTTCTATCCACCCCTACCCGAGGGAAAACACTTACTTATAACGGGAATAGCACTGTTTTGCTATTCCCGGCCAATAACACAATAACACGTGAAAAAATTATCCTACGTATCACTGCGTTATTAATAGGAAATAGCAAAAAGTGTTATCCCTTTACACGAGAGTTTCTCTCCTACCCAAGGTTACAAAGATTTTGTTTCATCAATTATATCACATCCCATTTTCATGGTATTTGTCAAGAGCCAGAAAAATGATATTTTTACTGCTTTGGTTGGGTGGTTTCTCAAAGCCCTTTCACCACTATGACGAGATGTAATTGGACTGGGCTTAGCCTGGCCCAAGGTTTTTGTTAAGCAACACGAAAATGGAACACGAAGCATGTTTAATTATTTGAAATGAAAGAAGTTATGAATTGAAGAAGTATTACGAATATGAGAGAGAATGAATGTATACGCAGTGACTACCATTTTCTCCATTCGATGGCCTTCATGTGCATGGGATTTCCTGTGGGATGTATCACATTCTCAATACTATATTAATCAAATTGGATCGTAGATTTTCATTTGACCTTATGATTTAAAATGTGGCGATTGTTATTCCACCTTATTTTTCTGTGTAAATGGATAAGAACAAACTCCACTTGTTATATGCTATTAGAAATGATCATCATAGCCTTAACTCCAAAATGCTTATAGTATGAATCTTGACACCCTTCAACCTCTAAATTTATAACTAAATAAATTCAGAAAAAATTGGTAGATCGTCATGCTCGTACATTCTTTTTTGTTTATCATATATTTATATACATTTAAAGATATGTACGTGACATATGAAGTAAGAGGATATAATAACAATAACAATAATGTTGGCCCTGATCAAAATTCAAAGAGTAGACTCTAAATTTGTCAAGGCCACCTGCATTAAGCAAAAATCATTTTAAAATGTTGTAATCTCAATATTCTTTTGGTGAATGTCGAATTTATTTGAATATTAATGTTCGAATCATCAAATTTATTCACCGAACGATAAAATACAGTAGACAAATAGCGATTCTCCTTCTACCCTTTTGATTTTAGCATCATTGAAGTTTTGGGAAACATCCTTCCTAGACTCATCCTCAAATCCATAATATTAATGGATGAACAAACTCTATATATATGCATTTTTGCATCATTTGAATGGTGATAAAGGAAAGACATGTGGTAATGAAGCAGACCATAAAAGAGCTAAAAGAACTGGCAGACCTAAAAGGTCTCTCTTTTTGCGTTTCTGGTATGAACAACAACTATCAACCTAACCCACTGGTTTGGTGTTGGTGTTGTTGCTATCGGTTTTCTCGCAAATTCCAACCAAAACCCCAGACTCACTCCCCACCCCACACTATTATCTATGGCTGTTTTTATTTATTTATTTCTAATCAAGTTTTGTTTTGACCCTTCCTGCCCACCTATTATTAATTCACCGCCGTGGTTTTCAGGAACTTTTTTTGTGAGCACTAATTTGGCGTCCATGGTTTGCTTACCCTTTATACCCTTCATTAGTGACATCATTTTTTATATTATCGATAGTTTAAATAATTTAAAATAATTTAATCTTCGAAGAAGGGACTCGAATTTTAGTGTAAGAAGACAGACTCACTACCTCAATCAACTCGAGCATAATTTAGAGAATTTTTTAAAATAAGACGATGTGACAGTGTAACATATAATACAGAACAATTTTCACAAATTATTTTATATACCTTTTGGGCTTTTTTGGGTCGGTGGGTTGGTCACATGACCGCCATATGATAAGCCCAATATGAAACCAGGGGTAAAGGAGTAAATGTGTTGGAAACCCAGATCATTCGAGAAACAGTGAGCAACGTGTTCTCCAAGGCCTTCGTCTCTCATATAAAGGCCTAAAATCCCACCGTTTTCTCTCCCATCTCCCTCCTCCCTCAATCTGCAGATAAACCAAAACCATCGTTCAGATTCCAGTCTCTTCTTACTATCAACAATGTCGGCCTTCAAGGGGAAGTACCATGGTAATCATCTTCCACCACCTTTTATATATTTTGTTCCTCGTTTTACCATTTGTTGCGTATGTCGCTTGAATTGCTCAAACCTTTTTGTTAATGTTGCTCTGATCTGTGTTTTTATGAATTAAATTGTAAGTATGGATCAGTTTGATCGTGTAACTTTCTGTGTAAATTACCGTTTGCTAAATCGCTGCCACTCTGTATTGTTTGAATTTGTGCTTAATCTTGCAATTTATTCGGGATTAGTTGAAGTTTATGCATAATACGTTGTTGGATGAGCCTTGGTTTGATGCGCGAGTGGTCCTGCTCGTGTAGGGTAGGGAAAATCTTGAATTTTTGGACTGTGGCATATAAACAAGTCTGTACGGATGCTCTCTTTTGTTGTAAAATAATAGTTTTTTATTGTCACATTTAAATAGTGATTTACCATCCATCTTTTTCTGAATTGGTGGCCATGTTTATTTAAATAATGTGGAAATCTCAAGCTGATTGAAAATATACCCAAAAAGCTCTGATTTTTCTCAGGGCATTTGACCATGGAATATTTTGCAGCCCTTAATAGTGCAAACCATTTTGAGTTTTTAATTGAAGGGGTTATTAATTTCATAGAATTTGGGACATGGGAATATTGGGTTCTTCCAGAATCTCATTATGCTTTTGTTTTGTTTCCTCTCCACATTATGGTTTTGTTTTCTCTTATGGATATCAAAGTTTGGGATTTTACTTTTAAGCTAATGCTATGATATCTGGTTCATTTGTACTGCATTTTGTGTGGCTTGCAGATGAGCTCATTGCTAATGCTACCTACATTGGCACCCCTGGAAAGGGTATCCTTGCTGCTGATGAGTCAACTGGCACAATTGGCAAGCGTCTTTCAAGCATTAATGTTGAGAATACTGAGACGAACAGACGCGCTCTCCGTGAATTGCTCTTCACCACCCCTGGTGCCCTCCAATACCTCAGTGGAGTGATTCTCTTTGAGGAAACCCTCTACCAAAAGACAGCTGCTGGTAATTTTCCATTTGCGTTGTGAAATCATATTTAAAATTGGATTTCATCTGAAATTGATGAATGATTTTTAATATTCATGTGTTAGTTTGAACATGTTTCTTGAGCTTGCCATCCTGTTTCCATGTTGCATTTGGATGATTATTCCATGTCATGATATCCACATCTTGAATTATGCTATGCAGGTAAGCCATTTGTTGACGTTTTGAATGAAGGCGGTGTTCTCCCTGGCATCAAGGTTGACAAGGGCACTGTTGAGCTTGCTGGTACCAATGGTGAGACCACAACCCAGGGTCTGGATGGCCTTGGAGAGCGTTGCAAAAAGTACTATGAAGCTGGTGCTCGGTTTGCAAAATGGCGTGCTGTGCTCAAGATTGGCCCCAATGAGCCATCTCAGCTCTCAATCAATGAGAATGCCAATGGGTTGGCCCGATATGCTATCATCTGCCAGGAGAATGGCCTGGTCCCCATTGTTGAGCCAGAGATCCTGGTTGATGGATCCCATGACATTCACAAGTGTGCTGAGGTGACTGAACGTGTTCTTGCTGCATGCTACAAAGCTCTTAACGACCACCATGTTCTGCTTGAAGGAACTCTCTTGAAGCCTAACATGGTGACTCCAGGATCTGATTCACCAAAGGTTGCACCAGAGGTGATTGCTGAGCACACAGTCCGTACCTTGCAGCGCACCATGCCTGTGGCTGTTCCTGCCGTGGTGTTCTTGTCCGGTGGGCAGAGTGAGGAGGAGGCTACCGTCAACCTCAATGCCATGAACAAATTGAAGGGGAAGAAACCGTGGACTCTATCCTTCTCTTTCGGACGGGCTCTTCAGCAAAGCACCCTCAAGGCTTGGGCAGGAAAGGAGGAGAATATTAAGGCGGCACAGGAGGCTTTCCTCACCAGGGCGAAGGCCAACTCGGAAGCGACATTGGGAACCTACAAGGGTGATGCAAAGCTTGGTGAGGGTGCTGCAGAGAGCCTTCATGTCAAGGACTATAAGTATTGATGCAGAGCTGTGTCAAAGCCAATGGTTTTGCTCTTACAAAAACGGTGTTTTGGTGTCGTAGTGTAGGTACTTTTTCAAATTTTCTTTTTAATCTCTGCCTTGACGAGATTATTGCCAGTGACTAGTAGAATATGATAAAAGCTTGAGGAACGTTTTGCAAGCATGAAGAGTTTTTTGTTGTTTATGTCGCTCGTTTTGGTTGGTGAAGTGCTCACGCTAATGTATTTGGGTAATGTGCTTTTATGATTTAACCTTGAGCGGTTTTTATTCCGGTTGATAGTGAATGTGTCATTCAACCCAAGTTTATCTTATCTATTTTGTACTTTATTTTTATTTTTCTGATCCAATTCTTCTTAGATTATCCAAGGTTATTCTTTAGGCTAATCATATGCTCTCTTTTTCATTAGGTTTTCATTAGGTTAGATCCCATTAGCTATGCTTTTCATTTTCTTTTAATCACAAGCAACTTTCAGAAACGCGAAAGAAGTTTCTTTCCTTTCAGAACAAATAAAATAAAATAAACTGCAGCCCACTGCTTCCTTTTTCTTTCCCTCAAATATAATAATGTGGCAGGCAGAACAGAAAAAAATTTGAGATGTAAACGAATCATGTCTACATCTTAGCGTGCTTATGATGTACGCACGCATGGGAGCACAAAACACGTAATTGATCTGATGAAATATAGAAAAAGGTTATAAATAATAAATATGAGGATCAAAGTGAAAGAATATTCCAAGGACTATATGCTCAGGACTGAATTGTCCTCTTCAATGTTCCTCCAATGTATGCGTTGGATCCACGCAGTATGATTTCGTGTTCATTTCAAGCATTGATATTTGGTAGGAAACCCCTGGCCACTTGGTTCAACAGTTGAAGAGAAAGGTAGGTGAAGAAGAATCCTCAACTTATCAGAATTAGACATCCAAACCAACCCACCAACATTTTTTTCTTTTCCATCTTGAGTTTCAAACATAGGGATTTAATGTTAAAACACACATTTTAGAAGAGATGTATAACTATTAAGCATTGCCTCTATCACGCATGAAAGCCTCTAAATTAGCACCCTTCTTTATGGGTAATCACGTAATCGTCATATGTAAATTAAAAAATAAGTAGACGAGAACGAGAGGGATTAGGAATTTCAATCATATAACAATAAAGAATAAGTCAATAATGTAATGTTTAGGAATCAATGGAAAAAAGTTTTGTATAAATTTATGAAAGAAGGTCAAACCTTATTTTGTTTATAGCCTTCTTACGTCTCAAAGGGTGGCATGTGCGAGTGCAACCTAATAAAAAACCGTCATGCCATGTTTTCCATGATTTTTAATTTGAGATGGGCGTGAAAAGAAGAAAAATTGTTGAGCGTGATCTAAATGATGCTGGTGGCAAGTAGGGTTTGATTATTATATAAAATGTTGAAAGTTTGGTCGATGATGTATATAACTATAAGATTAATATCGTGTTGACTTATAAGTAATGAGAAATTTGGTGGGTGACAAAGAACCAACTTGAAGCATGTAGCTTTGACTCCACAAAGCATATATACATAATGCAGGTATTGCATTATTACACAATAATTATAAAAAAAAAAAAAAAAAAAAAAAAAAAAAAAAAAAAAAAGATGACAAGTGCATTGAATTGTGCATCTAATTGGTATATGCATTTTTTTTTTTTTTTTTTTTTTTTTTTTTTAAATTTGAATGCCGATCTGAGGCTATTTAAGTTACGAGCCCCTAAATATTATAATTGCATAGTTGAATTAGGTACAGGTAGTCATATATAGGAGACATTAAGGTGATATTCCATATCAGTTTTTTTTTCTTTCTTAAAAACAAATAAGAATTACAACTAAGATCCTTGTTGAATCCCTAAGTTAATTTTACAAATTAAAAAACCAAATGTAAAGGTTAGGCAATTCCAAAGCGTTTTTGTTAGCTGTTTATAATTACAAAACAAACAAACTCATTGGAAATGTCATTCATGCTATATCAACACAATTTTTCTTTGTTAACTCCAACAACCAATTTATGCTAAAACATTGAAGATTAATGCGGCAAAAGGAAAAAAAACAGAAGACACGAATCTGATTTATAGGCTGAAGATACGAAATACAAATACCGCGTGATTATCTTACCGTAGTATTCTATAATTTCTTGGCAAAGTAATGGCAATGGCTTAAAAAGCAAATGCCTTGTCTTGAATACCAGAACCTAGATTGCCGGTGTTGGTTTTTGGCTTAAAAGTTTTACAACTTTGGTCTGCAAACCAAACCCACAGTCACCTTCAAATCCCACAGGATTTTCGTTGTCTGGTTTTCATCTTTTTCTTTCATTCAAGTTTAATTTTGACCTTTCCCACCCACCTACCGAATCACGGGACGGCAGCTGGTTTTGAGAAACTTTTGAGGAAAAACACCCCCACCATGCCTAATTACCATTATACCCCTTCTCAACTCACACATCAATTTTTCTTTTGATTTTTAGGTTAATGCGAAAATCAAGTTCTAAGAGTTAGGCAAGTTATTCACGGCAGTACGCCACCCTCTACCATTTTAATTCGATTCTTCCTCTCCGTAAATTAGATTAGATTAATTTGAACTATTATTTGTATAATGATCTTATTTTATTATTATTAGAATCTAATACAATGTACTGTTGGATGTATATGGGTTAAATTCACCCTAATGTTTCTATAGTATAATTGAGAAATATGTCTTTTTCTTTTCAACATTTTGGTAAATTTTTTCTTTCTTATTTAATAAAAACATATTTGTTAAACTTAATGTGCAATCCGCAATATTTGATTCGTTGTGAATACAATAGGAAATGAATCTAGGGCCAATTAAGGAGTTGGGGGCAAAACCGTAAAAACTCAGAGAAATAAACAATTGTTTATTTACGTGGGGAAGGAGCCAAGCAAGCAGTACAACATCAAGCCGCACTCACATAAAAAGCCTCACCCACCCTTCACTTTCTCCCATCTCACTCTCTCTCTCTCTAAGAAAAACCAGTCTTCTTCCTCTTAAGCCTTAGCATTAACCATGTCTGCTTTCAGGGGCAAATACGCTGGTAATTTACTTCTTCTGTTTGCTTTGTTAACGTTCGTATCACTCTGTTTGTGTCTCTGTTTTTATTTTTATTGCTTAGATCTGATTGTTCTGTGTAGTTCTTGTTCCGTTTTGAAGATTTGATGCTTGAAATCATCTTTATTCAGTATGTTGTAGTTTTTGAGTGGTTTTTAATTTTGACTTCGAGATCTGAACGCCCAGATTTATTTTCTTCACTCTAGTGATCTCTTGCAGTTTTTCTAGATTGGCTTCTCAGGAAAGCAATCGTCTGTTCTTCCTGAAGTGTTTTTAGTGACTAAAGTTTCGATCTAATCTCTCAGGCATACTTCATATTGCCTTTGGGTTTCCTTTGCGAAGTTAGAATAAACTCATGGTTCATTAGACAGTTTAGTTACAAATAACTCAAGTTAATGGGTATTTCAATTGTTTGGTATAAATCTAGATACTTTGCATTGTAAGATTGTTATGCGGTCTGTTTTTAGCGGATCAACCTTTTGTTTCTATGTTTGTGATGATCCACTTATCAATAGGACTTTACCCTTTTGAGTTCCTGTTTGTTTTTAGTTCTTTATGTTGAGATCTAAATTTGTAATAGTTTTTGGAAGCATATAGCATATAGTGGTTGTCTTTTTCATTGTATTTGGTGCGTTCTCATCCGCATATGTGGTGCTCTTTGCTGGTTTTACCTACAAGACTATATGTGCAATTTGGACTTGTCTTAATGTTTGTTATCGTTCTGTCATTTTTTTTCTCTGGTAACTTATGGACTTACGGTAGATGTAGGTTGTGATTTTTGGTCGATGTTTCCTGAATTTTGTATTCCTTGCAGATGAGCTCATTGCCAATGCTGCCTACATTGGCACCCCTGGAAAGGGTATTCTTGCTGCTGATGAGTCAACTGGAACAATCGGCAAACGTTTTGCCAGCATCAATGTTGAGAATGTTGAATCAAACAGGCGTGCTCTTCGTGAGCTCCTCTTCACCGCCCCTGATGTGCTCCAATACCTCAGTGGAGTGATTCTCTTTGAAGAAACTCTCTACCAGAAGACAGCCTCAGGTACTTTGACCAAAATTTCTGTCTTTCATACTTTGGAAGTGCCTTAAAATACATTTGCGTTGCACAATCAACAGTCGATTTAATTTGAAACCAATAAGATAATATTTATGTATTGGCATTATTGTCAGTAATTCGTCATTAACAAATGCTTTGAGTTCATACAATGTTTGGGTAGCTTTTTAACAGAATACTGTTTTTGTTTGTAGTCCTATTTAAGCAATCCTCTGGTTACATGGATTGTTGGCCTTTTCAATTCGTGTTTGTTTTGAATTTGTCTTATCCTAATAGGTCTTTAAATTTCCCATGAAATAATATTCATTTTATCATGTTGTGCAGGCAAGCCATTCGTTGATGTCTTGAAGGAAGGAGGTGTTCTACCTGGAATCAAGGTTGACAAGGGCACTGTTGAGCTTGCCGGAACCAATGGTGAGACCACAACCCAGGGTCTAGATGGGCTCGCCCAGCGTTGCCAAAAGTACTACGAAGCTGGTGCCAGGTTCGCAAAGTGGCGTGCTGTGCTCAAGATTGGTCCCAATGAGCCATCTCAGCTGTCCATTAACGAAAACGCTAATGGCTTGGCTCGGTATGCTATCATTTGCCAGGAGAATGGCCTGGTCCCCATCGTTGAGCCAGAGATCCTGGTTGATGGACCCCATGACATCGAGAAGTGTGCTGATGTGACTGAGCGTGTTCTTGCTGCATGCTACAAGGCTCTTAATGACCACCACGTCCTGCTTGAAGGAACTCTCTTGAAGCCCAACATGGTTACTCCAGGATCTGATGCCAAGAAGGCTTCACCCGAAGTGATTGCTGAGTACACAGTCCGTGCTTTGTTGCGCACTACCCCTGCAGCTGTCCCTGCTGTGGTGTTCTTGTCTGGTGGACAGAGTGAGGAGGAGGCTACCCTCAACCTTAATGCCATGAACAAGCTCAAGGGGAAGAAGCCATGGACTCTTTCCTTTTCATTTGGAAGGGCTCTTCAGCAGAGCACACTTAAAGCCTGGGCAGGAAAGGTGGAAAACATTGGAAAGGCACAGGCTGCTCTCCTCACAAGGGCCAAGGCCAACTCAGAGGCTACCCTCGGAACATACAAGGGTGATGCAAAGCTTGGTGAAGGTGCCGCCGAGAGTCTTCATGTTAAGGATTACAAGTACTGAAGAAATTTACAGTTCTTGCTTCTCTTGTTTTATTTTTGGAAAACTATTTTGCGGTATGTGTATGACTCTGTCATTCTCGGGCGTATAGTGTTAGGGATTTTTCAAATTTCTGTTCTTGCACTCGGTTTTTAGGATGTTGGTAGAATAAGAAGCTTGAGGACGATTGGCATATGTTGAGTTTGATAAATGTTTTCACTTTCCTCTTCAAAGGAACCGTTTATGTTTTTTTTAAAATTTCCTGAATGAAGATCAGGATTCTATTTTCAAAATCCAATTTCTAGCTATTTGACATACTTCCGAGTATTAAGTCTTTATCTTGCTCGCATTGGTATCCTTACAAACTTATATTTTGTATAACCAACCAGTAATCCAATCCAGTATGTGAAAGAAACTCTCATGATTAAATTGTTTGATGTAATATTTTATGGGTTAAAAGAAGTTTTAGCATGTTGACAATTTAAAGTTCTGGTTGAAATTCGACATAAAAACAAAATTTCTGGTTCAAGTTTGGACTGACCTGGGCTCCGGTTTGTCTGCAGGCTTGAACATTGGCCAATCTGTAAAAAGCACCCAAAAACCAACCTTAGCTTGAAGAGAACTGAACAATCCAGAAGACCCATAAAGCCCTTCACTACACTTAAAAATCAAGAAAGCAGAGAAGTTAAAAAAAAAGGAGGGCTGGAATTGGTTGAAAAATTCTCCATCCCTCACTAACAAACAAGCCCATAGCCAAAATGCATTTTGCTGGACCAGGATAAAAAACTAATGAATTGAGCTGGGCCAATTGGGTCACATCCTTCTCTGAAAATATCAAAAAGTGCAGATATATCAGAATCAGCGAGTCATTCTATAACGAGAGTCTTAGATGAAATCCTATATCTTAATCGTTAGATCAAACTAAACACTTCGATCCAACAGCTTACCAATTTGATTTAATGGTTATGAGATAGGGTCTCATCTAAGGACATAAGGCCCTCACTATAAAAATATTGAAGACTAGACTTGCAGAGCCTCTTCTGACCAAAAAAAAGAAAAAGAAAAAAGACTTGCAGTGCCTCTTCTGACCAAAAAAAATAGAACAAGGACTTGCAGAGCCTCCTTTTAATTTTATTTAATTTAAAATTTTCTTAAAAAAGGAAGGCAGATAAGGGGCTCGTCTTTCTGTAGTTACTATAATATATAATACCAATGGTAGGTTTAATTGTCATGTAAGTGTAAAGATAGTTAAAAAGCAGTCAGGAAGCATGGCAAAGATTTCCCAATTTGGGGTAAGCCAGAAGCTGAAAAAGCAGAGCAGAAACACAACAGTCATATTTATTTTTGCTTTTTCCCTTAGTGTTTTATTAGCTCAGTAAGTGGTCACATCAAACAAGCATGAAGGCTGAAGCAAGCAAGGCAAAGCAAAGCTAGCATCCCCAAAAAAAGCTGGTCTGCTTAAACTCCAGAGTTCTAAAATTGTCATGTAATTTCGTTTCCCTTTGACTGCTGCTGCTGCCTGGGTTGGAGAGAGTGGAGATTTTTCTTCAAAGTAGTAAAAAGAGAGACATTAAAAAATGGTGGTACTTGCAGAAAACTGTGACAATGACTGGCAATATGTCTATGTCTCCTCCCTTGTTTGGTTCCCCCGGTGGGAAGCTTCTTTACTCTTTCCTATGTACGGTCATGCTCATGAGTCTCTGTCTAAGAGTGGTGGTATTTGTACACTCACACTGCGCTGTGTATTTGAGTGTCGTATGACCCTTTTTCTCTGTTTGGATCATAATGGGCTCTCTGCACAAACGCAAGATTAAAGCTTCAATTGGATTGTGAAAAGCCTTTTAAAAAAAAAAAAAAAAAAAAAAAAAAAAAAAAAAAAAAAAAATGGTACTCTCAGAAATGTCATCATGTGCCGAAAAGGGTTGGTTTTTGTGTGTGTGTGTGGATAAGGAGGGGTTGGTTGAGTTAGTAAGGATCATTCTCATTGTTATCTATACACCTAGGTTTAAGTCTCGCTGTCGACAATTCCTCTTGGTAAGTAATATGAAAAAACCAAAAAATGGGCTAAGCCCTCCTTTGTAAGTCCTCAAAGAGACCTCGGTATACCCTGATTTTAGGATGAGATAGCCTCCCCCACCGCCCAAACTTTTTTCATAAAAAAAAAAAAGGAAAAGAAATGTCATCATACACTATTTCCTTGTAATAACATAAGAAATTATATTCGGAGAAGTGCATGTCGTCTTTTTCGGAGTACTAATATAACAGTTACATTACAAAGTTGGAAAAGGATCAAAGTCCTTCACTATCTTCTTTTTTTTGGTGAATATCAATTAATGCCAAGCTTTATTTATGGGTGAGAGGACAAGAATCTTGGGGTTTCCTAGCAAGCAAGGAACAAGAAGAGAGAAAAAAAAAGTTATCAAATTGAGTTAGACACAAGCACATAATCATTGATGTACTTATGGATAATACGAAATCAATTAATTCCTAAAACATAATATTAAATAATTATATCGAAAAACATTTCTCCCTTTGCAGAATGATATGTTGTTGATCTGCTGATAATAATTTCTCTCTTTTTCTTATGTCTCTCTCACCCTTTCATTTAATACTCAATGCATATCAATCAATACTTTGAGTGCTTTTAATTGCAGAACATGACATTTTCCTGGTGAGGAGGAGGCTTCGTACATTTGCTTTGCTAAGCTGCACTGCACATATGCCTGCTTCCAATATTGTCAGTTTTCTATAGCTGTACCAGCCATGCCATGTCCAGACCAGAAGGCAACTTCCAAAGTAGCAAACGAATTTGCTTCCTTTTTCTTTTCTTTTTTATTTGGCAATCTCACATTTCTTCTACTCTATGTTTTGTGCTATATAGAGGAAAAATTTATGTGACACAATGCATCAAGCAAATATATATATTTCACCATATATTGTTGATGCGAAAAAGTGATTCGGCACTTTTTAGGCCTAACTTAGTGATGTATGGGCCTTCAGAATGCTCTGGATCTCGGAAGAGCGCTCAATCTGCAAGATAAGAATACACTCAGTAAGACCTAGGACACCGGTGTGATATCAGCCAAAAGCTCTCCGATACTTGAGTAAGTACGGATTTAGTAAGTAATATGGATAGAGCGATGGCTAGTGTGTCGAAAGTTCCAGTTACCTCTATTTTGGGATTTGTGCCCATTTTTATAGGCCTTGGGAGGTGTGCATATTGTGTAGAATTTTGATGTGGGATTGTTTGACATTCACTGTGGGTGTTCCACGTGATCAAAGGCTGAATTTGCCCTAATGACGCATTCGGTAACTATGGGTGCCGAGGGCTACCCTGCTGTTGCCTCCGTTTATCCACGTGTCGTGTCTTTATTGGTCGTTGAGTTTGGTATAAACATATATAAATAAAACAGCAGCAATATTCTTCAATTATTGTCTGAGGCAAGTAACTTTTTTTTAATGATGGAGGGATTTTAATATATGTATTGTTCATGTTAGTAAAGAGTTGGACAAAGAGTATATCTAGCTAGCTAGGTTGAATTGATAAGTAAGCTAATTGCATACGGTTAATTGGAACTTAAATTAAGCTCAACCAAAGCACCATAGTGAACTGTTTAACCACGAGATGCTATGCATAAGGAGATAGATTATTTACTTCATTAGTTTGTAACCACTTTTTAAAACTACAAATCCTTTCATTTTAAGACAAAAATCATCACTTCCCCCAACCCCGAGTAGCCAAAAAGGCAAGAAATTAATTATCTTCCTAATATTTTATTATAAGGTTTTAAGCTGGAACGACCATGTCATTTCCGAAGAAGATATATAAACGTACAATATTATAGTACTGGCATGAAAGGAGTTGGTATTAACACTTCAAAATAGTCATACTGGGAAGTGAGTTGGTATTGAGGAAAGTTGAAATGATATGAGTGCTAAAGAACTATTTTGGAGTTCTAATCAAATGGAGATTTAAATAAATAAAAACCCACAACAACAAAAGAAGACATTTTCATGATAAAGGAATTAAATCTTTGCATAAAAGAGACTAGGATGATGATAACAAAACACTAGCTAGCAACACTGTAACCTCTCCCTTCCCCAATAAAATTCCAGAAAGAAAATAAAATGCTTTATTCCCCTCTAAAATTTTCATGTCTTTAGTCCCATTAAAACATCACTCAGACCCTATACATAAATAATCCTCATCAGTTAGCTCCTTGCTTACAATATTGTAAGCCCCACCTCACATGAGAGAGAGAGAGAGAGAGAGGGGTATATTTTCAAATTTCTGAAACCCCATAATCAAAGTCAAACCTCTCCTTTGAAAACACACACTGCTAGTTAAAGCAACTGAACAAGTTGTCTTCTGCCTTTCTGCTAGCTGATCTACCACATGACCTCACTGGTTTTGGCTTCCCTTGCTGAGCTTCAGTCCATAGTTTTCCCACAAGTTCTCTCCTTCACTCATCAAGAAGGGAAAACAATTATCCTGCACTGCATTTCCCACATTTGCATTGCCACAAGGAGAATTATTAGACCCATCATTAGTACCACCTTGCTCATGGTCATTCATTTCAGCACAATACCCTCCTTGACTACTATACAATGAGGAACAAGACTCATTGTTCTGAAAGTAACAAGCTGAGCTTTTTGAATTCACATTCTCCTTGCGCTTCTTATTCAACAACTCCCTTGCACTACTAGTGTTATGAACAATTTGATCATGATCAGAACTAGTCTGATGATGATGATGATGATGATGATGATGCTGATCATGATCATGATCAGGTGATGGAGAACTATAGTTAGCCTTTGCTTGATCTGTTGATGATGATCCTCCTGTTAGCTTGTGCAATGCCTCCATCAAAGCCTTGTCCCTTGCTTCAATCCAAGCCCTCTCTTTGGCCCAAAACTTGTGCTCTTTTTCAACCCTCTCCACTTCTTGCTTTCTCCACTCCTCCTCTCTCACCATTCTCTCCCTCTCCTTTTGCTCAAGAGTTCTCATTAACCTCTCCAGCCAC